TGATTTTGCCATGTGGATCTGAGTCTCTCTGGCCTGAAAACCAACTCTACTCCAGTAAACAAAATGCCTCATTGCCCTTACTTTTTTACTCCTTCAGGCTTTTTCTTGAACTTCTCTTTCTGACAACCATCAAATCATCCATTCAAAGATCTCAGACAAGCTCAGCATTCTAAGGGAACCTGTCAGATCTCATTTGGTTCACGTCATCTACCACTCCTTTGTTTATTCTTCTTTCTCTAAAATCTTCCTTTTCCAAAGCTGAGAGTTGATAAAACAGGCTATTTCTATCACAATAAAAATACATTATACACCATTTGAAGAGAAAATATTTATATATTCATTGGTAGTGTTAAATATATACTAAGGTTATAAAAATAGTAGCATGTTAATAATAATAGCATGTTAATGTAATAGAATAGTAGCATGTTAACTATTACAACAAAATTAATTCATAAACCCAGTCTTTCTGCGTAGTTAAATCAAATACACGCTGGCTCTCTAATCTGTCTTTAGTAACCTATTTTAAAGTGCTCTCTCTTCCAATTAATCCAACGTTTTTCTCAGGGATAATCCCAAGGACAGGATAATCCTTATATGTTCCCTGTGTCAGTTCAGCCTGTTAGTCACAATCACCGGAGCATACAATCACGTACAGAAAACCAAAATGTCCATCATTACTTTTATCCAGGCTGGGATTTCCCTTCCTCCCTGGAACACCAGCTTGCCTGCTTTACATCCCTTGAGGCTTAAAATAAGGAACATGTCATAAGTCTTTTCCGAATTCTCTCCCATATTAAATTTTACGTTCATAAAGACATGCAGGCTCAGTCTTGAATTTCTCACTATACTGAGAATCTCCAACCTCTAAGTATTTTGCTTTGCCTACAGACATTCAACCTTCGGGCAAAAGGCTTCTCTATCACCAGAATGTGTCCATTCCTCCTTCATGACACTAATTGCTTGTGCGCATTCCTCCCTACTAAACAATTCAACCCAAAGGCTGCAGTTAAAATCATGCTCACTCACCACTGTGGCTGCTATTTTGTTCTTCTAAGTTTCTCAATTATGCACAATGTCATTTCATTCTGACTCTTACCACAGTCTATTCTTAGTTCTTTCTTCCTCTCTTTTCTTGCCCATCCAATTCAGCCAAGCTCATCTTCTTCCTCATCCACACTGGTCCTGTGTTATCTAGAGCAACCTCTTTACTTTCACCTCACAACTGCATTTTTCTTAATCAAAAATTTGACTTAATACAGTGATATTATAAGCATTGTATGCTGCCGGCTGACAACTACATGTATGGTGAGCATAGCATGATGTGTAGAGAAACTGCATCACTATTTTGTACGTAAAACTAACGAAACCTTGTGTGCCAACTATATTCTTATTAAAAAGACTAGCCCTATTAAGTGAAAAAAATGCCATCTCCATTAGTTACTCATTTTCATTTATCTGTGTTAAACATACTCTTAAAACTTTGCATTAGAGAAAAGCAAAAAAGAAATAATAAACATCCAAGTATTTACACATACAAATGACCTGCCCTCCAAAATCTTGCAACAAAAATAACTTCATATGTAAATAAGATTTCACCCTTCAAAATAAAAGATTTATTTTACAAAGTAAGACAGAATAATGTTGACCTCATATGATAATCATAAAAATATATGTCTAATCGTAGGAAAGCAGCAAGTCATTTTCCCAGCTACTTAAAAATATTTTAATCATGCAAAACCAACATAATGTATTCTAACATAATGCTAAAATGTTAACCAAGATGAAGTGGCTTTTATTCATTATACAGGATGTATATTTGGCAATAGTTTTTAAAAATAATTACTCTAAAGGAACTCTAAATATATTATTTCAGAAACAATATTTTAAAATACAGCGGTAAGCAATGAAAACTGTTGTTCTTTATACATTTTTGGCATAACACTGCCATACAATTACAGAATTATAAAACAAGTGTTTCATAGTACCCTACAGATCCAGAAACTGGTTACAACTCCTACCACATACACATGGTATTGGTACTCACAGACATGCACAGCATTCTGTAATTCATACTGCAGTAGAACACAGGGCACAGAGAAGACCCAGCAGCTGCTGGAGAGTTAGAGCTTATGTGCGAAGTAAAACACACATCTTTTGAAGAATCATACCCATTTTCCTGAAATACTAAAAAAACAAAGGACACAATAGTTTCCAAAGTGAAATAGTAGTGCCTGGACCCAGCTGGCCATCCATCTTCTTAGGTAATACTAACAAAAGGCCAATATCTTACTTAGGAAATAAATAAATGGTGTTTTAGTAAAAAGGGAAAAATGCTTATTAAGGGATAAGCTAATGCTTTGCTCTCATTTATTTCTCTTGATTGTAATGCCTCACAATCAATACACTGTCAACTCTAGTATGGGTGATAGTTACTTCATTTGTAGACAACCATATAACTGAATCTTCTCTTATCTCAGCCAGTCCCCCAGTTTAATTTCTTGTTAGTAAAACCACCAACTATTGATACACACTGGCAAAAAAAAAATTTAACTCGGTATCTAATCATTTGCCTACTTCTCAGTCTACTGAAAAGTTTCAAATGGGAATGTTAATGAGATTCTGTTTGCACACCAGTCCTTTAATCACCTACGCACAAAAAACAGAGCTAATTCTGAAATCACATCCCTAACATAAAGCTTTTGTGGATCATTCCTCATCTGCTTCCAGTAATTGTGTCATTTGTACAAACCTAGAATTGGTTAGATCTTGATTTCTCTAGTAAGCTTCTTGTTATTGTTTCTAATCTTTTGTTTCATTTATAGTTTCCTTTTCTCCACATGAAACTAAATCTTCTATCAGCACCGAAAAATAATAATGCTCATTTGACCAAAGAGTATAGAACTTAAATATTTCTTAGGACCAAGATTATTATATAACTAATCTCTCTGATTAATGCAAACTGTTCTACAAACTCATATAGCTCATAGCTTAAATATACTTTCATAAGGTTTCAGATTTTTTGTTTACAAAGATACTTTTACCTAACAAGTATCAATGTATTTTCCCTTTCACTTCATTTTTAATATACATTGAGCCATTTCATAAAAACTTTTAAATATATACCTATGAAAGAGCAACCTAAAAGAACTGTGATTGAAGAACTGGGAGGAAGGGTGGGCGGAAATGGTATTTCAATGTTTCCCAAGATAGTTATAAAGATTCAATTTACATAGCAAGTGTCCAATTGTTCACAATTTCGTAACTGCAAAAGGGTAGCAAGCTGTAACAGATATTTTTGTGAAAATTGATAATGTATTAAAATTATGTCTGGAATCCAAGGTAATCCATCCTTTTCAGCAACCAGGGGCAATAAAGCTCAACACCCTCCTAAACCAGAGGAGGCTCTGAGGATCCATCATGACTTTGGAGAGGCTGGAACCCAGTGTTGGCTCCATGTTACCAAGATGCTCACCTGATTTTTACTCCCCTTTCTGAACTCTACTTCCAGGCACAGTTTGAGCCATGAAACAAAGCACTTGATTGTATCCTCTAACATGAAAACTTTAACTCAAGAAAGAAACATAAAGAAGCTATTTCCTACAAATAACTAAAACAATAATTCTCAACAGATCAGGGGGAAAAAAGCAGGTGAAAAATAACATTCTAGTGTAGGGGAAAAAAGCAAAAACAGTGCTTTCTAAATGTTTCTAATAAGAAAATGAATTTCAGACTCCTCCAACCATCTACTGGAATTAAACTTTTAAATAATTCTCTAATAGAATTTCATTTTCTGCATCCATCTGCAGCTAAGAACAAGAAGTAAAACACAGACAAATATTACCTGTAGTAACTGAGAAATGTTTAAAATGAAAATCATAGCATGTAGCAAAACCAAACAAAAGCATAAATAAATGTGACAATGTAGTTAATCTTACTGTAAACACTTTTTGTCAAATATAACACACTGTTGACACTGTGGCAAGTATACTTCCTTATGAATTAATGATATTGTCACAAAGGGAGATTTCTCCAAAATGAAAAAGCACCAAAGTAAGTTCACTAAAATAACTGATATTCATTCATGGTTTGGAAGTTCCTCATGGCAAGATTTTACAATGGAATAGAAATTTAAACTTTTGAATGAAAACCATCTACATTAATTAAGGCACATCTAGACACCTCCAAGCATTCATATTTATAACTGTAGTATTATTAACTTCAATAATAAGAGATTTCTAAAACCACAGTCTGTCCCCGAACACAATCTGTTGGGTGGGCTGGAGAACTAGAACAGGGATAGAGGCAGGGTAGTACTCACTGTCACCCTAGAGATTACCCACACAAATCTGTTCATGTAATAAACACTACAGAATTCAAAGCTGAAAGAATATATGTAACTCCTAATTTCTAGATCTGACATTGACCCCATCATTGTTATCTACAACCTCACATACACTTGAAACGATCCTAGCATGTCTAACTCCAGCCTATCTTCTACTTAGCATATATAACCCAAAAGACAAAGAGGAATTTTCTAAGTGGGAGACAAATTAGAAATCTTCAAAACCATTCCTATAACAAAGGATCCCCACCCAGCACAAATAGGCATGAAAGACCTGTAGATGAAGCTGTAATCAAGTAAGATCATGATTGTCCTTCTTTTCTCAGGTTAGAACATAAAGCTTTTAGAGGAGCCTCAATTATAGAAAGACAAAAAAATGGCCCATTTAGTTACTCAATAGAGTATTAATCCAATCATAACTCTGTTATAAATTTGGGAAATTTAACTTTAAACAATAAACAAATATTCTCTATCAGCTCAACCAGGTTTTGACCACTTGATATGAGAATTTACCTACTAAAATGGCTTTTTAAAGAGTAACTCAGATATAACATTGCACTGTTTTTCCTTTTTCACCATATATTTTCACTCAGATTAATGCATAAAAACTAAAAGCAAAGTAGGTAATTTTACACAACAAAATATGAAACAAAATGACTATGATACTTATGAAATGACATTTCCATGTTTACATTGTTAATACTTAGCAAAGAAAATAAAATCTCAGAACTTCTCTAGTAACTCCTGAGTTGCACATTTTATTTTCTCCTCGAAGCTGAAAAAAAGTAGTCTCAAAATCAAAATTCAAAATAAAACTATGCAAAATAATTTTTGAATTGAGAACTAGACCTGATATAGAAAAAGCAGACACATTTTAGCTTCTATCAAGATTCTTTTGAGTTTTGTATGAGACTGAGCATGAAACTGTATAACGGTACAATATTCTTAATGTTATAAACTTTTTCTCTACTGTACAGAAATATATCTTATAATTATATATCACTTTACAGTATTTCAAAATACTTTCACATATATTATCTCCTTAGAGATATGAAAGCACAAAATATTAGAAATGTACTAGACTAACCAAGCGATATAACATCTGCCATGAAGTGCAAGTAAATATTTTATCAATAGCCAATGTTTATATCTTCACAGTCCAAGGTACAACAATAAAGTCTATATATCTGCAAAGATTCAATAATGTTTCTAGCTATTTGGCCATGCTTCACCGCATTTTTAAAACAGCTTCTCAGTAAATTTCTGCAAGCATATGGTAGTTTTTAAAAATACAAAACATTAGAGTCAACCCCAGAGGGCTGTTTGATATTTAAGACCCACATAAATACATATCTATAGATCTTATTTAAAAAACTATTAATTTTACAAAGTATTCTTTATAGAAAAAAATTATAGACACTCACAATTTTTATCTGCAAAAGGAATGTCGTCTTCTCATTTGTTCTCCACTGAGGAATTCTCTCATAGATTATTTGCAGATTAAATGTAGGAATCATACTGTTACATTTGAATACGGATTTTAAAAACAACATCGTGGGGAAAGGCCACTGTTTATATAAATGGAGGCCAGGCAGTTTTTCCCTTGAGACTAAATATTCTCAAATTAATTGGTACAATCTAATCAAACCCCTATTTAGGAATAATATTCTAGAAGTTTAATTGTTGAATGAAGCGTTTTTACTTGTAAGGACTCTGATACATGATAATTTCTAAGCAATTCAGGTTATATTCATTTATTTTAGTCTCTGTCCACTGTTTATTAATATTTTAATATCTGGTCACAAATTTTAAATATTTTGCACTTAGAAAGCAGTCTGAACACTTTTTTATGTATTCAACTTGGTAAGATATTTTGAATTAATCATGTTCCTCCAGTTCAGCTCCATGTGACAACTACTCTCATCTTACCCTGTAAAACTGTTTTTTGAGCTCTATGGGGACATTGCTCCAAGCATCACATTAGAGGGTCCACACAAAAAAGAAATTGAAATGCAAAAGCAGAATTGTTTCTCCAAATCTTAATACTCACTTCACAAAACAGTAGAAAGCAAAAACTGGGATACTTTGGGCACCAAAAATGAGAAGATGCTCTAAAGTAATTGGAATATGACATACAACTTGGTTAATAATATATTATAAACTCAGGTTCGAGCAACTAGACTGCTTTATGTAAACTCCAAAGCAATAAAAGCATACTTCTAAAGGCATACTATTGGTATATTTTCTAGAAATCCTCTGCTGGAAATCCCCCGATTGTAAAGGTCACAGAGGATGATATGATGTGACTAACAAATAGGACACAGTAAACATTCTCGGGGGGGTTAAAGAGAATCTAAAAGCCCAAGAGATACACGACTGCCAATTCTTCTCTAAATGAAAGTGAATTTTTTTCCTATTAATTGCTTTAACTATATTTGTAGGTATGTTTTGAAATTCTCACCACAGTCATTTTCTGATGTGTAATATTAGTAATAATATTACAGAAAGTAAAACTACTTACTCTTAACCAATATTAACACATTAAGTGCTTGCTAAAACTGAGGATATGGAATTTTAAATCTCCTGAATTTCAAGGTTTCACAACTTAGAGATATATCAAATTGTTTTCTTTTTTAAAGATACACTGGACTAAGCAATATTATTAATTTCACAGCCTAAAGAATACTGAAATAGTCAAGGTTTTAGGACCACTGCCTTGTTACCAGTTTAAGAGGCATGCTATTTAAAAATGTATATTTTCTTTCCTTATTTTTTAATTCTTTAGTCATTTGCATTCAGAAACAAGCACCGAATTTATATGGAACAGCCATAAAAGCAAAATCCTTTTCTTGGACTTTTGCATCAAAATTTGTTTTTAAGCATATAACATAGAAAAACATTTTTATTACTTTAAAAAAGCAAATTCTTGATAAATACAGTTAAAAGAGCCCCTCTGCTCCATTTAAATGTCAGTACAGGGGATCACCTGAATGTACCCTAGAAATGCACATGCTGGCCGACAAAGATGGCAAATGAGAGCAAGGGCAGAGACAGGAAAAGAGGAAACGACAGTGGGCAGGGTGATTATGGCTCCCTAAGAATATCCATTTCACACACCAGAATTTATGAAGAGTTGTCATACTGAAGAGTCCAAATCACTTGCTGAATACATTTGAAACGACCAAATTTGTTTTTCCAGTTTTATGAATGCATAAATTGGCCAATGATGTGGCAACATAATGAAATTTATCCTCTTGATTTTCTTCATATAGACTGTAATCTCCCAAAAAATTTATTTGATATATCAAATACTACATGATTATTTCCATATACAGTGAAAATAATTTAAATGCAATTGTTATACACAAAACTTGAAAACTCACATCCTAAAAATTGTTAAAGAGTACATTCATTTATTGGGTCTTGCTTAAAACCTCTTACTAAATATTAAATTCATTATCATCCAACATAAAAAAACCAAAAACAGACTGTTTACAACAGAAATTACAAACAGATGAGTAAAATGTGAAACGACCTCTGTTCTTCAGGATAGATTGTATATAGTTTTTCCCTCCCTTACCTACACAGGTTTGTGGGTTCTCTGATAATTGATAATTCACTGTAATAGTGCATCATCAGGCGGGCCTGAATTTCCAGGATTTTCACAGTCTTTGTTATGATTTTCACCTTCTTCATCTTTTTCTGGAGGAACTGCAGTTTCCTTCCTCTCTGTGGGATGGCTGACTGCTTTCTCCAGTTGAGAATTTGAATTTTCAGCATTATCGTCCTCTGCATTTCCTGGCTTGGCGACTTCACTGCTGGGCTCTGCACTGGGCCTGTCTGTCTCTTCTCCAGGCCCTCCAGGTGTCGTTTTCTTTTCCTCAGCTGTTTTGCTATTCAAATGAGCAGCTGAGGAGGAATTTTTGGAGTCCCTGGATTTTTTGTGCATAGAAGTTTGACTGATATGACCAGAGGTGGGAGGGGCAGGCATTTTCTGGGCTTTGCTTCCCTCTGACTGTTCTTTCCTTGGCGGTCCCCAGATAAAATTCTCTGAAGGCGTGTAATGTTTCTGGGCAAACCGTAGGAGCTTTCTCCTCTCTCTCCTGTCTCTAATTGTGTAAACAAAATATTCCAGAGCGCTCTGTCTAATATTGGGAATAGTGTTTTCTACAAGAGCTTCATGAAGAATAAATTTTACAAGAGGAGATTTAAAACTTTCATATCCAAGCTCACCAAGGCTTTTAAGAATACGAGTGATTCGTAAATAGTTGTGCTGGGACCTGGAAGAGAGGATTGAATAAAATGTAGGGGGAAAATCAGGGGAAGGAAAGCAAGGGAATAAGAAGTATTGGAAAAACAGTTTTTGATGGAACTGTAAGCTATGGAAACATGCATTACCATTTTACTGAAAGTCATTAGACACCAAAGGAAGGATAAATTAATTAGAAGTTATTAAACCCTTATACTTCAATGTAATGCCAGTCTATGTGAAATTCAAATGTGGAATATAAGTTCCTCTTATTTCTTTAGTTCTTCATATCTGAGAGATATTTAGGTCTAAAATTTATTCCCACTGACGCTGAATTGTTGTTCAATTTTAAATACACTGAGGACGTGATCTACTAGAGCATTTATTTGCAACAACAGCTGCTGTATTGTACCCACCACATGTAACTAGTACTAAACATAAATGCAACATCAGCAATCAGCTGACGGTATGATTTACAGTGTCAGCAAAAACCACCATATTGGCCAACTCATAAGGTAATCAACAAAAACAACTCTACCTTACTGGAACAATTCTGACAAAGGCTGCAAAACTGACTTATTTAGCAGAACATAGTTAAGAGCATGGGCTTTGGAGTCAGAATGGAGTTTATACCATGTCTCTGCCACCTACGACTATAAGAAATTACGGTATCTCCTTCTGACTCGGTATGCTCATCTGTAAAGGAGGGAAATGGCCAATATTTCATTGGACTTTTAGAAGAATCAAATGAGTTGAGACATGTGCAGGGCATGCAGAACTCAAAAATATTAGATACTATTTAAAATTAATATTATTGGGGCGCCTGGGTGGCTTAGTCGGTTAAGCGTCCGACTTTCACTTAGGTCATGATATCACGGTTCGTGGGTTCGAGCCCCGTGTCAGGCTCTGTGCTGACTGCCAGCTCAGAGCCTGGAGCCTATTTCAGAGTCTTTGTCTCCCTCTCTCTCTGACCCTCCCCTGCTCATGCTGTCTCTCTCTCTCTCTCTCCTAGAAATAAAAATAAAATAAAATAAAATAAAATAAAATAAAATAAAATAAAATAAAATAAAATAAAATAAATATTACTGTTATTATTTAAATTTGGTACTAAAGACCACCATATATGTACCTATCCCCACTTAATTACCTGTCTTCCACCCATGCCTTCCTTCTCTCTCCTTTTGCCAGTCAGACAATTTCTAAATTTTGCTTCTAATGGCATAGATTCCAAAGATGCCTTTTTCCCCAAATTGCACAAACTTCTTCTCTGTCCACTATCAGATGAATGTTTTCCAAGCTTATCTATCACAATTCATAACATACCTACCCTACATCACTAGGCCAATAGTTTCCTCATTTACAAATACCTGGCCGCGTCCTAAAGGAATCTTCAGCTACACAGTTTAATCATGTGTCATTAACAGCCCAGGTATTTATTTACCCATACTGACACACAACCATAACAACCACTTATTTCTAATGTCCTAAAACCTATTTCATACATCAGATACTGAATTTTATAAAAGCAATGCATATACCTGCTTTGGTTTCCAAAAATACAGCATTTCACTTACAAATAACTAGCCAAATATTTGGGAAGGGTGAAGAAAGATGTTAATTACTTGAGGGACAAAAGGGGGTGGTTCTACAGCGTTACATTTTAGTAAGAACAAAGCAAAAATCTTAATGAGTCAGGCTAGGTAAACACTGGAAAAGACAAGTCTGGCAGTTTTTATCATCCCCATTCTTCTGGATGTTTACCACAAAAGTATTACCTTAACATTCAACTCTTTGAGGCCAAAGGGTAAAACACAGCAGAGATATGTTTCAGTCTTATGAACCTGTATTTTTTTTAATAGTTAAGAAGTAAGAGTCTTCTGAGACAGCACAAATTTGAATGAGATTAAGAAAATGTGGCATTAACAGCAGAGATGACTTAGCGTTAGGTTAGTAGGGGTTTACACTCTCCAAAAACTTAGTGATAAAACTCTTGAGCAACACCTGCTTCATAAATCTATGAAAAAGAGATATACGGAAAAGCGATGGAACATTTTTCCCAAAAAATCCTAAAGATGAGTTATACGATCCCATAAAATTTTCTATATTTGCACCAGCTCAATTGCACACATCCAGTTGAAGATGAATAACCAAGATAAAATTTCTGTATCTATACACTCTCTGACTTACAGTAAAATTATCTGTATCTATATACTCTGCGATTTAAAATATTTACATTACATAAAATATGTATATAACAACCCAAAATTTACACTGGCTTCAAGAGAATGAAAATTGGGATTATGGAACAAAATTATACAAGAAAGAAATTGAGTGTGTCAGTATGATTTGAAATAAATATTGCAAGTAAAGACAAAAAGGAAGAGAGGACACCAGCTGAAACCCTCCTAATGTTGTAAGCAGCCTTTGGGGTCGCAAAACAGATAAAAGAGAGAGGCTGGGCTTCCCAACAGAAGGGGGGTAAATAGACCTGAAAGAGTCAGGAAGCCTACGTGAATGAAGAGACGACACACAAAAGGCAAGAACCAAGAGACCAAAAATAAAAGTTAGAAGCAATTCCAGGGTCTAAAATATGGCTCAGTAATCTAAGGTGATTACAAATAAAACCGGAAAAAAAAAAAAAAACGGAAATAGTGGTTGGTCTATATGTTTATATTCTCATGTTCAAAAATATTTCACTTCTGGGGCACTTGGGTAGCTCAATCGGTTAAGCATCCAACTTTGGCTCAGGTCATGATCTCACAGTTCGTGGGTTCGAGCCCCACATTGGGCTCTGTGCTGACAGCCAGCTCAGAGCCTGGAGCCTGTTTCAGGTTCTGTATCTCCCTCTCTCTCTCCCCTGTTCATGCTCTCTCGCACGTGCACTCTCAGAAATAAATAAAACATTTAAAAATATGAAAAAGTATTTCACTTCTTTTAGTCATGGTCACTTGTTCACTGAACATTATTTCATTTCACTTTCATTCAGATTTTTTTGTCTGCTGGGTTACTATAAATATATTGAGTTTCCTGCCTACTCTAAAAAAGATGTCATACAGATTAAAACACAAATAAAAGCTCTGTGCATCACCCAGGGAAAGAAAAATGAGAGACAGTGGGTGGCAGAAAGAAAAGGATCTGAATGGGGCACAGGAAATATGACAGTTAATTCAGGCTCCTTTCCCCTGGAAAGGCCAGGAGATCATTTTAATTAAAACTTTCAGAAGGTTTCTGTTTCCAACTATCAGAGGATCTGAAAATAAAACCCCAAGGAGGATTTAAGCTGGCAAATGTATTTTGTTCAGTGTTTATTCATTCAACAAACAGTTACTAGACAAGATTTCTATTCCAACCAAAATCAAGAAGGTGGGGATGGAGATTCTCTAAAGTGATAGTTTACCATTCTACATGTCAATAGGCTACTTGCATACAGCTTTCTTTGACAGTGTGACCTAAATGCTTAGAAATTCTGTCCAAAGACAGTGACCCGCATTGCTTAGGCAGAGGCATAATATACTTCTGGTATAAGTGCCCTATATAAATCAAATTTAACTTGAGCTATGAGTTAATGGGTCTTCTAGTCAGGTTCATAAAGCTTTATGCCCATATCTTCAGTGTTTTAGTACAAGCTACCACTTCAATGTGTTGATCATAACTAATAAAGTAAAAAGAAGGCTTAAATATTAATACATACTCATTTTAAGCAAGGCAAGATGAAAGTTCTAAAAAAACACCAGAAAATTCAGTTAATTGATGCTCAAAACTGTTCTGAGTAAAGAAAAAATTCTTAGGTGTTTTTTTTGTTTTTCGGGGGTATTTTTTTTTTAATCTTAGTAATTGCCCAGTTCAGCTAATTACAATGTGCTAAAAAAAATTTTTTTTAATGCTTTAAAGCTGCTGGTTTTATGGTCCAGCATTCATAAACCACCCTATAATTAAAAAGAAAAAAATTCAGTTTGCATACAAAGACAATACTAAGAAAAATAAACGCTGGGAATAAGTATTAATGAAAGTTATAAATATCCAGGCAAAAGAATACAGTAAATCAATTCCAAATAAAAGATATTAAAATTCTCTTCACAGGTTTTAGGATTTATTAAGCAAAACTGGGCCTTTGTTTTTACTTAAATAATGAAGATTCTAATTTCCCTTCTTTTTGAGAAACAAACAAGTCCATTTCCATCTTAGAAACTGATTTTTATATGTCATAGGCTTGATTTATAGATTGAATCTAAGAAGGTACTACGCTTAAGGAAGAGACTGTGCCACAAGCTCACAGCCTAGACAAAGGGGAGCTGGGACACTGTATACATGAAATAAGTACAAATGCCAAGAGGGAGAGAGGCCATACTTGGCTTTGGGCAGTAGAGAGGTTTCAGAAAGAAGCAGCTGTGAAGCAGAATGGCCTTATTTCTACCTGGAATTTCATTCTTTCTTGTTGCTGTTTTGTTGTGCTTTAGATAGGACAAGGAATAAAGTGCATTTCGGACTAATTTTTGAATTCAAATTCCTGGGTCCATCTACTAGTTAGTTGTTCCTATTTTCCACAAGGAATTCCAACCAAGGAAAAATAGCATGCTGGCCCCTGGTGTACTGTGGGGCTTTACTTACTCATTCAGATGCTGAAACCTTTCCTGCCAGTTAACGGCCCGAGCAACATTTCCAGTTTTATCAACCAGTTTTATTCCAAAAAATTCTAACATCATCTTATAGGCCAGGAGGAATCTTTTAATTGCTTCTTTTGTTTTTTTGAATTCCTGTGGGGGAGAAAAAAGTCAGCTGAAATGATTCAATAGTTACCAGGACAATAAAATAGCAATATTATTTGGTCACTGCATATAAAATGAAATGAGCTTGCATTACCTCAATTTCATATGTAGTTAATTCTTTAGCATAGAAATTCAAGCCTTGTTCTCTCAGGGGGAAAAGCCTATTTTTTAGAAAAATAATATTATTATATTAATGCTATCTGAAAAACATACATGATTAAATAGGACATGATTCAAGATACATAAATGTAACTGACCACTGAATGTAAGTGTGGTTGTGCTCCAGCTTTTCATAATCTCCTTTCCACTTATTTAGAACTTCTTCAATGTAAACACCTAGACAGTAAACATTTAGAAAATGGGCTAGATGGTTAAGACACTTTTGAAGGCATTTTAACATTTAATCAATCTTTGTATTAAAACCTCTGAGATTTAATTATAGCACACAAAAATAATGCTTTTTTAAAAACGCTTATTTATTTATTTTGAGAGAGAGAGAGACAGTGTGAGAGGGGGAGGGACAGAGAGAGGGAGAGAGAGAATCCCAAGCAGGCTTTGCTCTGTCAGCACAGAGCTCAATGCAGGGCATTCCAGGAACTGTGAGATCATGACCTGAGCCAAAATCCAGAGTTGGATGCTTAACTGACTGAGCCACCCCAGGCCCCCCACAAAAATAATGCTTTCAAAAGAAAAATACCTTATGCCATATGATCAGTTATGTAATAAGTCAAACTTTTAAAATATCAATGGTACCTCAAATCACAGAAACTCTCATCAGACAGTGTTACTCTAAAGCAGAGGTTGACAAACCACAGCCTGCCATTTGTTTTATAAAGTTTTATTGGAACACAGCCATGCACATTCATTTATATATTTTACACTTTAACAGTAGAGTTGAGTAGTTGCAGTAGAGACTATATGACCCACACACCTGAAAATATTTACTATATGGCCCTGTACAGAAAAAGTTGGCCAACCCCTGCCCTAGATGATCATATAGTTCTTTAAATACAAGATGAGATCAAAAATGAATGTAGGCCAGGAAAAACAAAAGAATAAAAGAAAGGTGAGAGGAGAGAGAGAAGCATGAAGAAGGAGAAGGAAAGGAAAGGAGAAGGAAAGGAAAGAAGGAAGAAAAAGGACCCATGTTACACACAGTATATATCATCCAGCTTACTCTTCACAGAACTCTCCCAAACCAGTACTATTATCCCCATTTTACTAATGAGAACAGTGTGTGATTTGTTCAGTCACAAACTAACAAAAGAGTAAATGTAGGAGAACACAGGTCTTGCTGTTTCCAAAAAGTAAGCCCTTTTCATCACATCTTATTGTTTCCCCATAAGAACTTTTTACAGTTAACCCTTGAACAACACAGTTTTAAACTGTATTGTAATAATACAGTTATATACAGATATAATAATCCATATCACATAACAAAATATGTGTTAAGTGTTTATGTTTTTGGTAAGGCTTACAGTCAAGAGTAGGCTATCAGCAGTTAAGTTTTGGGGAGTCAAAAGTTATACAGGGATATTTGACTGCACAGAGGTTGGCATCCATAACCTCTACACTGCTCAAGGGTCAACTGTTTAACAAAATCCTCCTGCTTCTCAAATTCTGTCTAGGTCCTCACAATTGACTATGTGGCCAGTTAGTCCATTTTAAGGGGGGAAAAAAACCACAACATATTTCTCTAAATATAACTCATCTCATTCTTGTTTCTTCCAGGTATCACCAGGTTGTAGTTAAGGCCTACGGCAGGTTGAGTAAAAAGGTGTTTTCGAATCTCGTTATTGCCTTTCTCAGCAATTTAAAACCATTTACCTCTATAATTTCCCTTCCAACACCCCCTCCTCCTACTTACCCAAGTAAAATACACCATTGCAGGCTTGTGCTTATTGGCAAGTATATGTGTATGTGTGGGTACACCCACACAATAGAAATTGTGTGCGTTGGTGTAATGTATATAATAAACTAGAATTAACATTTTATACGACCTTAGATAAAATTCCTGACTCCCACCAACCCTACATGATTGCAGAGTAAATTTTGTGATAAAGATTATAAAAAATTAATAAATGAATTTATTACTTTAAATTACTTCCTCAAAAATAAATTCACTAGTAGAAATACAAAAAATATTCAGTTAAATACTATCAAGTTCAATGTTTTTAGTATTTGAAGGCATTCCTTTGGGTGAATTTTATTAAATTCAAATCAAAGTCAAATTAACAATCACTGCATTTCTTCCAAAGTTTTCTTACCCCAGGTCCTAAAAAAACCCCAATAATTTAATTAATATTATTTCAATTAGTAAATAAAACAGTGTGTTTCTATCATTAAGAAATGCAATAGAGCATTGTTATCCAGAAGTTTCCTCCCAAGTCTGAGCAAACTTTTGGGACACCAGAAAATTAAAGACAAGTGGATTTGGCCATTGCAGCAATGTTCTTAAGTCCTAACTCCTAACTGGTGCATCTCTCAGTGCATAGTACAGAGAATTCCTCCTCTCAACACTCCATCCACCCTTCAGATAGCCTTCCTCCAGTTCGTTCACCAAGGAATGCACAGTCCTGCTCCTTGGAAAGCTTTGCAATCTATGATCCTCATTCCCTGACTCCCTTGGCTGTGGATTTGGCTCCGTTTCCATTAAGAGCAAAAAGCAGAAGCCAGGGCCATCTGGTCACTTCATAGAGATAAGGGCAAGGAGAGAAGCCAGCTTTGCTGGTTTGACCTGGATAAAATTAGGATGCCCATCATGAACCACAGCATGGTACCTTAGTGAAATATGCATATTACCATGGTGGACCCATCCTCTCCCTATAGGGGGAGGATCTTAGAAAAGATCCTACGAGGGCAATTATAGAATTGTGAAGGAGGAGCAGTTTATCTGGACGGGTTGGATGGAGATCTAGTATCTCTGTAGTTCCCTTCCCAGGATATTGGAACACTGAACTGGGACTGCTGGGGCTCCCTGACCCCTGAATCTGAAAATCAATAGGAAAGACCATTCTAATATAAATATTACTTTTCAATTATGTCCTAAATAATTTGGGGGTATGGCATAGTGAAAAGAATACTGAACTGTGGATCCTAGACCCAACCCTACAATCGAGTGACCAGACAAGTCAGTCATTGAAGCTTTAAGACCCATTGACCTCATCTTTAAAACAAGATTAATTTGATCTCCTCTAAGGTTTCTTAATAATCTAGTATTTTATAATTCTATAAATCTCATCTCTTTCCCTCTCACAAAAGTGGCCCCCACTACCTTTAAGACAACGGCCTCTGTGAACAAGTGGTGGAAAGGTATTGCTAATCCACAGTTATTCCTCTAGAATTTGCCAAGTGGATATTCACAACTCTAAGGTCTAGGGTTTTGAGGACACATTAGACTACATAGCAAAGTAAAGCCAATCAGTGAACAAATACATTAAGAATGTACTGACCACAGAATAAACAAAGAATAACTAGGTGTATGTTATTATTTAACATTTGCTTTTTACCAAGGTAGCAGATTACTCACCATCTGGCTTAAAAGGAATTTTATTCTTATAAAAACGAAGATTGCTCAAGTCATTTTGATATCGGATATCTTTGAAGTTCTGCTGAAGGAAAAAAGATATATCAATCTCTAGCATATGGACATATAAAAAAGGCACAAGGACCCTTCTTGCATGTGTGCTCACTAGCACCACAAAATAACAAAAACAGAAGGCAAATATTTTATATTTTAGAAAAAACATTCTATACTCTTACTGGGTACTGATGTCGGTATTTGTACAAATCCCTTGCAGCATAAAAGCTTCTCTTTGGTTTGGCAGCTGCTTCAGTGGAGTCACCACCCTAAAATGAAAAGTAAAATTCCATTTACATGTTGAAGCACTACAACTTTCCTGAGAAATTTCTACAACACCTAAAATAATGAACATCCATAAGGAAAGCCTGAAAAGTGTCAAGCTATTCAGAATAATGACAATATTATACATTTTCTTTTAATGATGCCTACTAGCAACATTTGTTGGCATTCTATTTGCCTGATTTGAACCCAATAACATTTGCCTAAAGTGTTTCACTAAATAAAAAACTGTATTATTCACCAAAAGCCTGCCAAATGTTCTAGATTAATGCTCATCAGAACTAGAACTCAAAATGAATTTAAGACATTTACCTTACCAGAGGTTACACAAGTGATTCTGTGACCACAATTATTTTAGAATATGTATCCTAAGTACATATTCTAAATATTAAAAAAAATTTTAAGATAATAAGTCAATTCTACAAAGAAAATTATCACAGATTTGCAACATTTAGCTGAACTTAGAAGGCAAACAATACTCATGAAAGGAAAAGGGGATTTTTAAAACAAACTAAATAGCTTTCTAAACTCCATCCTTTATTGCACCATAACAAGTACACAAAGGCATGAATAATCTGTTAATCCCATATAACACAATGTGACATAAATTAGCAAGTTTATAATATATAGAACACAAAGCAATAAAAGCTCTCAAATGAAATGAACTTCAGATTGTAGTCACTTATTTGTGGTGGTTCATCCACACTACTTAAATTCTAAAACTTCTCACCAGCATGAATGATTTTAAAAGTGTAAGATACAGGTCAGTATAATGGGTGGAAATTCTCTAACTATATGTACTTTTACAATGTATTACGAAAGTGCTTTGTGTCCCATGTCATGCAGGACAATAAGACAAATGACAATGATGAAACAGAAGGTGAAGTTTAGTTCTGAATATTCACTAAGAGCTTCACCTCCAATATCCTTTCTCATCATCCCCCACCCCCATCTGTGTTGACAGATGAGCATCCTCCAAGCAATTTTCGCACATTTTTGAAGTGGTGTGATTCTCACTATTACTACAAGTATAGAGATACTTACTTTAACACCAAATCCTCTGATGTTTAACATTAGCTACTCTGTCATGTTACATAAGCAAGGAAAAGCTTAAATTCTGGTCCTTGCCACACGTTTCAAAATAGCTCTGCCTAGCAAGTTTCTGAATCTATTTAGCCTGAGCTACAACCATATGAATCATCATCTTACATTTGTGCAAAAAGCACTTTTCCATTTACAAAGCATTTACATGTATATTGTTTCATTTGATTTTCATGACACACCTGATGGCAGATATTAAGTGTTTCCATCTTAGAAACAAGGTAACCCAGGCTTAGAGAAGTTCAACAAGGCCCTCAAGCTCAACGATAGCACATGACCTGGAATGCCAGGCTCTGGGCTGCAAGTCCAACTAATTAGGCATGAATCCATTTCAGCTCCACTCAAAGTGAAGAAGCATTATAGAAACCTTGGTGTAATGTCAACAGCCCAAGACTGGGGTTGTCTTAACTCTGCTACCTATTTGTGAGGCCTTAAGCAAACCACTTAACTGAATCTTAGTTTTAGCATCTGTGAAACAAAGATAATGACTCATGTCCTACCTATTTCTCAGGATTATCATGAAAATGACTGCATCCTCCAACCTCTATATGTACCACCTGCAAGCATCTGTCCTTGTTCCTCCAGCTTCTGCTCCTTTTGGAATCTCTATTCTGTCCCCTTTTACCTACCCAGTCAAGGATTTTGTTCTTTAATATATTGTTCCTATTTCCTGCATCATCAAAATTTCTCGCTCTTGTGGATCATTCCCCTCAGCAGACAAAGGTGTCGAATCTCTAATCTTAAACATATACAACCTTTCTTGACCCAAATCCCCCCTCAAATACAGATCCATACATAGCTCTGCTTCCTATTTTGGTAAAATACCACCAAACGACTGCGTAACCCCTGTCTCCGCCTTCTCTTCCCCCATGACACATCCCAATCTGGTGTTCAGCCTCACCATTCCATCAAAATGGCTCTTTCAACGTCACTAACTAATCTCCATTTTACCAAACCATTTCTCAGTGCTCAACTCAGGCAGCCTCCCAGCAGCACTGGGCCAGTGAAATATCTCCCTCCTTCCTGAAACACTGTCAGATGCCACACCTCTCCTGGTTTCTTCCTGTCCCTTCGGTTGTCCCTTGTCAGCCTTCTCTTTGGCTCCTCCCCCTCTACATAGGTTCCAAACTGAGGAGTGCCCAGGGTTTTGTCTTTATCACTCCGAAATGACCACATATCTCCCATGACTTTCCACACAACCAACAGAATGACAGCTGCAGTCCTGGACTAAGGCTCCATTTATCGATATAATTAAGAACTCCACTTAAGCGTCCAATAGGATATAAAATTCAGGGGAAGACATGATTTAACCTCTGATGATGCTTTTTCCCTAGACTCACCCATTTTACTTAATGGCACCATCATTTGTTAAATATTCCCTTGAACTAGGAATACAGAAGTGAAGGAGGTGAGAAGCAGTCAGACTGGGATATATTCTAAAAGTAATTCCAGTAGTACTTGCGAATGACTATGGGGACAGGGAACAAATAGAGTTGATAGTCAAAAAGCAAAATTAAAAAGATTTTTTAAAGAAGTTAAATGGTGACGCTAACAAGAAAAATAAATCCCTAAAGGGGGAAAGAGAGGGCTGCTGTGGTCTACCATTTTCTGGGGCCGCAATTAACTGACTGAAACATTAATTATCAAATTGTTTTATATAGAGGGACATGGTTAGCTGGATTGAATCAGGGCTGGAATTTTTTGATAGCCCAAACTTCTTTGGGAAGGTTACTTAACTGGGAGACAAGAGAAAGAGAAAAACTGGAACCCAGCCTCTAATACTTCTTGAAGGTTGAATTTGCAATTCAAAATGACCCATCAGCAACCTAGAACACAAGGGGCAGGGGGACCCACAGTATCCACAGGTTAAAGGTTCCACATTGGTAACACAGATACTTGGGCTTGCATCATTCTCTCCCTGAGTGTTCTCGGGCAAGCTTCTCATACTCTCTAAGCCTCAAGGTGGTCTAAAATGGGGATTAAAAACAGCAACTCCCACCCAACCCCCGAAATTGCAGGTGATTGAAATAACGTGTTTAGCATAGAGCCTGCACTAAGACTGTCTCTTCCTCAACTAAACAGAGCTGATCATCCAGATTAAGGAGGCAGCCCTAGTCTTAATCTTTAGGTGGTAACTCCTCTACTCCAACCAAGCACTTTGTGGTCATATTGAGCTCCATTTTTGTTTTCACTCTCATTCCCCCATAGCTGATAAAGAGGAGTACCTAATGCACAACCACAAACCTTAACATACTCCAGGATGCGCCCTTCTCCAGATGGCTGGCTACACAGTTCCTCCTTTCTAAAGTTTCCTTCATTATTTTCCGTCCTTAATAGGTTAATAGGGATATTACCTGTTTACTAAACTCTCTTCCAAACTGTATTAGCCAAATGATTTAAGCACAGTCGGATCAACAAGTCTCTGGATGATACAAGAGTTTTGAAGAGTGCCCTAAACTCCTCAGTTGAAAGGCCTTACTTAGGGTAAGAACTGTGGCGCTTTAACTTCGGATGGGGGCCTCCTACCATGCTTTCAATGGCTGTAGACCCCACCGTAGGGGAGGGTGCTCGCTGCTCCTCACTTGCAGTCCCACCTTATTCTGGGTAATTTTCCCCAATAACACGGACTAGACTGGTTTTCACAATCCTCTATTTTTAGACAGGTTCCTCCCACCCCACCTTTGCAGCAGCCAGCTGCGCTGCAGAGGCAAAGAAAACACCCATTCAAGTTGGGTTCTGCCCTGAGGGACTTCCTCGTAGTGCCCGCTCAGGCCCCAGGCCGGCGGCGAACGGCTCCGGCACCGCAGGCCCGCGGGGCGGCGGGACGGCCGCTGGCGCTGAGGGGTCTCGCTGCAAAGGACCGGCAGCCGCCGGCGTACCTGCCCCCCGAGTGCGGGTGTCGCTCGGCGCTCGCTCCTGCCCCCCGCGACGTCCTTCCTCCCGGGGCAGGGGCGCCCCGGCCCGGCCCGAGGCCACCGCGGGGCCGCGTACCTGCTCGGCGCCCGCCGCCTCGGCGTCTCCGTCCGGCTCGGGGCTGGCTCGAGGCCGCCCGCCCGCCCGTTCCGGGAGCTGCGCAGGTTGCTCGGGCTCCTGCCCCGGGCCCTCGCCGCCGCCGCCGCCGCCCGGCCCTGGCTCCTCGGGCTCGGGCTCCGAGTCCGTCTGCCAGGTAGAGTCACAGTCCTCCACTGTGGTGGGCTCGCGGAAGCTGACACCGCCGAGCAGGTTGCCCATTGAAGAGGCGGCGGCGGGCGCGGGGCTGGGGGGGCTGCGGGGCGCGGGACCGGGCGCGGAGCGCGGGCTGCGGCAGGCGCGCTAGGGCCCGGGCATGGCCGCGGCGAGGGCGCTGGGCGGCAGCCTTGGCCCGCCCGCCACCGCACTGCCTCAGCGCGGCGAGCGGCAGACAGGCACACTCGCGGGGAGGAGCCGGCGGCCCCAGGACCGCCGCCGCCGCCTGAACCCGCCCATCTGGTTCCTTCCCCTCCCCACCCGCGGGAGCCGGCGCCGGCCCGGAGCCCTGGGCAGCGAACTGCCGCCACGCTCCCCGCCCCCACCCGGCCTGAGTGCTGCCAGCCCCAGCCGTGGGGACACACCTCCCTTTCCCCTTTCCCTCCCGGAAGGCCTGCCTTCGCAGGGCCTTTGACGTCTCCAGGGAAGGATCGGGATCTGCTGTTCACCGGTCCCTCTCCTACCCTGGGCAGGGCACGCAGTTGGGGCTCCTCCCAGCTGAGCGGGAACAGTGGTCCCACCCAGCTCCGGGAGCCCCTGGCTGGGGTGGACGTGATGTCGAAGGCGGTTGTCACAGTCTGAAGGCCAGTCCTGTCCACACCTCCTCCCCGTCTCCCGGCTGGTCCGAGAGAAAGATAAATTAGCCACAGCAGAAGACAAAAGCTAATAGTGATGGGGCACCACATAAACGGAAAATCCCAGCTGCCACGACTGCAGGTATTTAGGGCAGCCACCTAGAGTCCCCACGGGCTTGATAAAGTCAAAGCTATCTGTCACCTCATCTAATGAGCAAACATCTCTTGAAACAAAAGGAGCAATAATAGCTAGACTTCCCCATTGATCTGTGGATTGTTTTACTATCACCCACTCCAAATCTGTGCTCTGAGTAGAATAAAAACTCAGAATCAGGGGCCTCTTTGTCAGTTCTGTAAATGAAAGGAGGAAGGAAAACATGTTCTAGAAATACTTAAAGATAAGATAGCATGATCAATTCAGTGTCCCAGAGCAAAGTGACTACTGTAAACTTTGTGTTATGGCCTTCTACCTGGAAAGAAAATGTCTTGAAAGCAGTCGTCTGTATATATACCCCAACTTGGCATGTACTCCGTAAACATTTATTGAATAGGAACTGAGAAAATAGGTTAGATATATAAGATCATATCTTATAAATTGGTGCACTTGAAGCAAGTAGTTTCTTTTTAAATATTTCATGATAAAATAGGAGACTGAATCAAGGCCAATGGTCTATTTCTAGGGGAAGAAATCAAGTGAATAGGGTACCCATTCTACAGATAAACTACGATTGCCTGTCTTCAAGCATGCTTCAGGAGATCCCAGCTGTGGCCCTGCCCCTAATCAGTTTCGGACCTTGGGCAGGTCATATAGCTATTTTAAACCTTAATTTCATCCATAATATAGGACCAGATTTTATCTCTGGGCTTCCTTTCAGCTCTGACTTTCTGTGGTCCATGACTGGGAAAAGCTATAAAACTAATAAATAATAGACACTTTTTAAAAAGACACAAAGACTTTTTTTGATCATAATGGCTCAGTGAAGAAAAAAATGGAGCAGCAGTAGAACACATGAATCCAACTGCTCATATCTGGGGATTTGGATTCATCTTCCATTGGCAGAGAACCAGACCACATTGCAGAAGTAAACGCTGTCCATCCAGCCATAAGCACTCCAGACAGAGGGAGTCTAGGGATAATTGCTGTGCCCAGGTGTTCCATCAGTTGGTCTAGCTGTATGTAGATTAAAGTTGGCCTCATATTCTTTGCTTTCCTCCCATTGAGAGATAGAGTCTAATTCCTCACCCCTTAAATTGGGGCTGACCTCAGTGGATTGCTTTGGAAATTAGAATATGGAAGCTTTTCAAAAATAGACTATCCTGAATTTTCAAGGTTAACCCACAATGAAACTTCCATCTTCTACTCAGTTTTCTTGGAGTATACTCTGGTAACCCTGAGCCGCCATTTACGAAGTTTAATTATTACGAGACTGCCATACTGGAAAGGCCACTGTGAATGTCTTCAAGCCACTAGTCCCAACTGAGCCCTGCCTTCCAGCATGCCCTGCTGAAGCCTGATACCTTTTATTGGATCTTCCAGACCAGACCATCCTCTGGTCACTGAATACCTCTCAGTGACCCCACTGATGCTGTGTAGAACAAAGGAACCACTCAGCAGACCCCTGCTCAAATTCCTGACCCTCAGAATAGTGAAATACAATAAAGTGACTGATGTGTTAAGTCACTAAATTTTGCAGTAATTTTGTTATATAGCAGTAGGTGAGGGCACAGTATCTGCACAGGTCTATATGTGTTTGTATATATAACTGCTATAATTAAATCCTTACCTTTTCCACCACCTTTTGGCAAAAATATTAATTGTTTTAGTGCTATAGATTTTGTGCCGAGCTGTGCATTATATTTTCTAAAGAACATAATTTTACATGAGGTATTCCAAAACCTTAAGTAATAATTTTAAAAATTTAAAGCAATAATTGATCATGTTGTGTCCAATCTATGTATTCAAGAAAATTCTGGAGGTCTGTCATCTCTTGGTTCTGTACATAGGAATTACCCGACTTGAAAACCTAAACTTTTTAATCATACCAACTTTTGAGAGTATTTAACACTCCTGCATTGACACTAAAGAAGTATGTCTATGCTTCACGTACAACATTCAACACTTAGCCAGTGCCAGGTAGATATTAATCTATCAGTACATATTAACTCTAATCACTATTTAATATTTCTACAGAGTATTGAATTTAACAAGAGTATAGATATATATGGGACAAAGAGAAACTACTGTGACAATGGCTTATTGTAAAGTATAACTTCTAACTCCCTGTATCTAGAAACTACCCAGGCTATACAGATACTATAGCCATGCTCCAGTGTAACCTTGTCATGGTTCCAGCTATGTCCTTGAAGGCTGAGGCCATTGTTAGGAAGAACTGGTGCTTTAGGAACTAAACTTTTAAAAATAGAACACAAGATACATGTGACATACCTTAAATTGTTTTTATAGTAAATTGTTTTTTGTAGTGAATTGTGTTTTAAGGATGTTAAGAAGGTTTATTGTTATATAATTTCCTCTGAGGGCCTTTTAAACAAAAGGAAAGAGTAGATCAAAGGCCATTTTATCCAACCTCAGGAATTAACTTCTCAGTAGTTCCCAGGAACATAAGAATTGAGAAAAAAAATAGTCTTAAAAAAAAATTACCCTCCTTTATCTAAAGCAACTCTATTTCCACTATTTTTGATAGGAGTTTTTGGTGTTTTTATTATTTTGTAGTAAAGTAAAAGTGTAGGGAGTAAATAATTGACATCCTCAACAGACGAAAGTTGGACCATCCTGGCTACATACATTAGGTGTCTTCCACAGCCTTTTTCAGACCGATGGAGTATTGGATAATATCCTGAAGCAGTAATGTATTGCATTCTATGGAATCTAAGAAGCAATCAATTCTAAGATGCATCCTATTTCAGATATATTTAAATGTGAAAAAAAGGAACATTCCACAATCCATGCAATATGGTGGTTTGCTAAGAGAAGTTAACATTTTTAAAAGACTAATTTATTCCTAAGAAATAGTTTACACTTTAAAGGCCAGCTCTAAATTTATATCCAATACTGAGTATTTTCACAGCTTAGGTCCTTTGTACTAATCACATGAAACCTATTAATAAAGAAAGGGAAAAGTTCATAGAATTTATGAACTAAGATTAGCATATACTAAGATATCAGTGGAAATGCATTGAAATTAATATAAGAATTTGATAATAAACCATCATTTGCATAACTAAGCAAATAAATTCAGCCTGTAGACTAAAAATAGAGCCATGTTTAAATTGAAAAAGGAATAACATTTGTTCAATAATAACATTTGTTTGGAGTTTTTATTTGGACAATTCAGCAACATTTAGATCCATATTTTAGGGTTTGTACTCAATTTAAGATGCTATACTGAAAAGAGACTGAAAATATCTTTTCTAGCCACATTTAAATAAAACAAAACATTCAAACTTTTAAGAGAAAATTAGTATAAACACTATGTAATACAGGAATTTTGACCTCAATCAAAAAAGGAAAAGTAGGAAGAAATTTTACCTATCACCTCGCAAGTTATTATTTTCCATGAATATAAATAGTTACATATTCCCAAATCCCCTTTTTCTAATTACTATTAAATATGCTATTATTCATATAATTTGTGTTCTTTAAAAGTATTATAGTAACTGAATATGAAAAGAACATGTAAACACATTCTGAACTTCCCCCCAGCTCAGAAGGGTGCTTGTTATTAAATCTACAGCCAAGGAATATGTGACTCTCATGGGTTCCTCCAGGCTTTCTCTGAGTTCCTGCCCTTCTCTTCTACAGTTACTTTTAATCTTATGAAACGACTCCCAGAGGCAGGTTGTAGGAATGGATCTCCTCCAGGCTACTCAGAGCACAGGTGTCCCAACAGGGACACATCAGAACCAGCAGACATGCTGTCACTGAGCCCTGGGATGCTGAGAGACCCAAAAGCAAGCATTTGGCACTTTATCCCAGGACTTGATAGCAGCCTCAATATATCAGAGAAACCAAGTCATACTCCTGCCCAAAGACAAGCATAGACTGCTTAAATCTTAACCAACCCCAGATACTCCCTTCTGTGAGATGGGCATGCTATCTGGGGGTTTGGGGGTTGGGGTGAAAGAATAATTCCCCATAGACTGTCAGCAACTCCATCAGGAAAAAAACTGAGGCATGGGCGTGTGTGGCAAGGAGAGGTACAATCCATCTAGGTGGCCATTTCTTCAAAGAGAGGCACTATCCTATTTAGCAACGACAGTTTCTTCCTGGCTTCATAGTTTACAACTCCCTTTAGAAGAGTGCCTACACAGACACTCTGTCTTGTTTGAAATTTTGTTTTCTAATGGCTCTTCTCTATTCTACCTGGTTTCCAAGATAGCCTCAATAATCCTCACTTCCTGATATGCATGGCCTTGAAAAGTTCCTTCCCACACCAAATGAGGTCTGGCCCTGTGTCACCAGTATGGTGAACATGCTACCATGTGACTTCTGAGCCTGGGTCATAAAAGGCACGCAGCTTGAACATTAGTCTTCTCACTTGCTTGAGGGAAGCCAGTTGCCTTGTCTTGCGGATTCTCAAG